GCTGGCTGCTGGCAACACACGGTGGCCCATGGCAGCCCACTGCAACAGGGGCTGCAGCCTACACCAGCGCTGGCGACCCACGGCATCCCAACTCCAGGTCGAGCTGTTGTTCATCATCTTAGCTGTAGAGGGCAGTGTCACTGGCCCTCATGTGGGATCATGAGCCCTGCTGCTCAGAGCTGGCGTCCCAAACCAGCTCTTAACGAACGTGCCACTCAGCGGCCCCCCAATAAAATCTTTTAAAAAAAAGTAATGAGGTTAATATAGTTGATTATAGGTGAACTAATTATATTATTGTGCTTTATAAAGGCACAGCTGTCAATGATCTCTTATAAGTATATGATAGGAAACCCTTTGTTTCCAAATGCTTTAATTCTTGACTGACAGAAAACATCACCAGGGATATCTGCCTCCTGACTTCAACTCAGCTACCAGGCAAACCTTTTAAACAGAACACTTACTTGACTCTCTGGGACACTCTTTATTGAGCAATTAAAGGATTGGAAAATCTACTAACGCTTCCAATATTTTGGTAAACTTATCTTTGTTTAAAGAGTAATTTTCATCAGAAAAGCATGTCTCCTTTACATAATACCTTCACGGCCCTTAACCATTCCTTCAAACTTGATAGAGTAAGCTCTATGAAGCCTAATTACCAGTAACCTTATACATTTCTTACACCAACTTCTTTGTCCCCTCTTCTGTCTCAAGCATCTATGCAAATCTGAACTCCTTAATTTTCTTTCGGAGCTTAAACCATAAGGAACTGCTAAAACAACGTTTGCTTGTCCCCCACCCCCCGCACTACCATGTCGTGGTCAGTACTTCAAAGGCCCCTAACACATATTCTTTTCTTTCTCTAAACGTTAGGGAAAACTGTTAAACCAGAAGTCGCTACGCTCCTCTTGCTTATTTGCAGTCTTGCCGTACTGTACACAGCCAGGTTCTACACCACAAGCAGAAGGGAGCAGAACCAAACAAAGATCATAGGCGTCTTGCATCCACGTTAGCTACATTTCGGAAAAGCGCGCTATCTCGGCAGCTCACGTACCAAATGTAGGCTTAGCCCTACGGCTAAGGGCATCGGAAAATTGAGTCCTTTCTCATAACACGATTCCCAAAAAGAAATGAATGTTTTTTGAAATATTCACTGCTTCCAACGCTAGCCACTCAGAACCGGGACGCCGGCTCACTTTCCTACTCCGCCAAGAAGGCAATGCACTATATTGGAGGGCAAGGGCGAAAAGAACCGGAAGGAAACCCGACGTCTCCTTTTGCGCAAGTGCCTGAAAGCCTCTCCCATTGGTCATCTCGGCTCGGAAGTAGGCGGGGGCTCCCTCTGCTCCTGCGGTCGATTGTCCTGCCTACTAGGTTAGTGATTGACGCGGCGGTGTGGGTCGTTTTGTATGTATGTGCGGAATGTAGCCGGCAGGCCCCGACCTCAAATAACGGTGCCTACGCAGGTTTTCTCTTAGCTTCTGAAATCTGTTTAAAGCGTTTATTCATTCATGCTCAAGTACCTAAAGTCTGTCTGACTGGTAGGGTTGCTCTGTGTTCTCAAACATTGCGGAGCTGGGGGGAGGGGCGGTGAAAAATACTTTCTGTAGAAATTCCCTCCGCTCTGCCCCGCGCTGCGCCAATTTGGACTACTGTATAGGTTCGCAAAGTAACCAACATTAATACCTTATTTGCCGACAGCGCATGGGACCCTTTTAATAGTATTTCTCAAGTATTTGTTTAAAAAGGAGGAAGCGAGGGAAAACAAGTCCAAACCATGCTGCTGAATCAGTGTGTATGGTACAGACGATCCAGAAATTGTAAACATTAAAGAACGTTTATTTTTGAGTCTGATGTTTTAATCTTCATTTTGCTGGGCAGATAGCCAAAATACCGGGTTGCTTGGTCCAGGGCCGGACGCCTAGCCAGCCTGACTTGAAGCTTCACAGCCATGGCAACAAAGGAGTCAGGAGACCCCAAAGCAGAGTTGGCCGTCTCCTCATCAGCCAATCGGAGCAAGCAAGCGTCTGAAAAACCAGACTATGCTCTCAAATTTACCCTCGTGGGACATACGGAAGCAGTATCATCAGTTAAGTTTAGTCCTAATGGAGAATGGCTAGCAAGTTCTTCTGCTGATAAAGTAATTATAATTTGGGGAGTCTATGATGGAAAATATGAGAAAACACTTTATGGTCACAATCAGGAAATATCAGATGTTGATTGGTCATCAGATTCCAGTCGTCTTGTTTCTGCCTCAGATGATAAAACTCTAAAGATCTGGGATGTGAGATCTGGAAAATGTTTGAAAACGTTGAAGGGGCACAGTAATTATGTTTTTTGCTGTAATTTCAATCCACTATCCAACCTCATAATTTCAGGATCTTTTGATGAGAGTGTAAAAATATGGGAGGTGAAAACGGGAAAGTGCCTGAAGACTTTGTCTGCTCATTCTGACCCAATTTCTGCTGTTCATTTTAATTGTAATGGGTCCTTGATAGTATCAGGTAGTTACGATGGCGTCTGTAGAATCTGGGATGCTGCATCAGGTCAGTGTTTAAAAGCACTTGTCGATGATGATAACCCTCCTGTCTCTTTTGTAAAATTTTCTCCAAATGGTAAATATATTCTCATTGGAACTTTGGACAATACTCTTAAACTATGGGATTACAGTAGAGGCAGATGCCTGAAGACATACACTGGTCATAAGAATGAGAAATACTGCATATTTGCCAATTTTTCAGTTACTGGTGGAAAGTGGATTGTGTCTGGTTCAGAGGATAACCTGGTTTACATTTGGAACCTTCAAACCAAAGAGATTGTACAGAAGTTACAAGGTCATACAGATGTCGTAATCTCAGCAGCTTGTCATCCTACAGAAAATATTATTGCATCAGCAGCATTAGGAAATGACAAAACAATTAAACTGTGGATGAGTAACTACTAAATCCTTTAGAAATCAAGTAGTAGAGCCAAGGTGGCAAGAAGTTAGATATTTAAAAAGATGGTTTCTCTTAATTTTGGCATGATTTTGTATTTCTTTTTAACATCGTCTTGGATTGTAAGATTTTAAGACCCAAAACGTAAATTTACAAAGCAAGACAGCTGGAAAAGCAAAGAATCTAGGGCTCTTTTACTCTTGAGATCTGTTATTATTCTCTTGTTTCTGTCCCTGAACAGATGTCCATTGTTCCTCTCAATGACTATTCTAGAGGATGGGTGTATTTGAGAAATCATTAGGAGATTCACAAGACAGCACGACTGATTAAATGAGGGGGGGAAAGGAGTATGGAATAAACTCCAAGGTTTTTGGTTTGGGAGATCAGATGAATAAGCATAAGCCTGGGATGATGGTGGATTGGAGATGTATGTCAGATGCCACTCAAACACTGTAAGTGATCGGTAGCCTACATGATGGGACATGATATGATCTATGGAATCAAGTCTGCAAATTGGGAAAAATAAGTTATGGTTAGGTTTGTTCTAAGAGTCTAAAACAACATTATAAATGGCATTTTACTGAAGGACCTCTCAATGCCTTGTCAGATTGTACCCTCTCATGATTTTCAAGCAAGCTAAATATCTGAATGGTGCGGCCCCTCTCTTTGATTATGTGTCTGACCTACTAACTCCTACCTATGCTTCAAACTCAGTTCAGAAATCACTTTGTGGAGCCATCACTGCCTGCCTGACTCCACCCACAGCTGACAGCTGAGTTAGGTTTTCTTGCTTCTCCTATAGCTTCTGTTGATCGAGTTCAAAATATATCCTTTACTAATTTGTATTGTATGGTTTCATGGACCATGCTTCCTATAAATTATGAGCTCTATGGAATCAAGAAGTATGTTTTATTCATCTTTGTATTCTCAGTTTTTGTATATAGAATGGACTCACATATGAATTATACCACCACCACTTCATTCCTTGCCTGCTTTGAATAAATTTTTGGAATCAATTCTGCATACTATTATTTTTGTTGATTAAATAATCTGAGTATAGCCTCATATATTAATATTAATTTTATTCAAACACTTTATATAGAAAATACAAAGTGGAAAACGGTTTCTGCCCACTTTACCTGTAGAGACATGATAAACATGAAAAAAAATCTAGAAATTAAACAAAAAATAATACAAAAATAATTGAAAGCATCAAGGGTAAAACTGTCTTCTTTTGTATTCTATAGTACCTTATAATAGTGTTCATTAATATCTGACTTGCTTGACAAGTTAAGGAACATAAGATATTAGAGTTCTTAGTAGGGTATGACTGCTAAGAAGTTTGTATGTGAGGGTACTGGGAGAAATGGGATTAGATAGAGGAAGGTCTTAAATTCTGGCCAAGAAATTTATATTTAACCCATAAAGAGGTAGTCACTGTAAGTTCTTGAATAGGAGAATGACACCAAATGAGAAGTGATTGTGTAAATTCTTATTGCATTGTAACATTTGTGAGCTTTGGTTTAATAAAACATTTTTATTATAATAAATGTCTAAGTTACAACACTTTAAAATACTTCTTCAGAAGTTAAAAATGGTATTGTTCTATGAAGAAAGAGGACTTATTTTTAAAAGTACATTAACATTTACCCATATTTAAAACATTGGTTTTGGTAAGGTGTAACGTAAGTGTCCCAAAATAATCAAGAAAAACTAATCTGCTAAAATGTCTAAGAAACTATGCTTTTTGATAAATTTTCAAGTGATAAAAATCAAAGAACTTGGTATCTAAAAAGAAGCTATGTTCAAATTACTCTCAAGTATATAGACAGATATCATTAACATCATCAGATAGATTATGAAGCTACAGGTAGACTGGTACATTACATTTTACTGAGTTTTTTCTTAAACCAAGTTCCCAAACAGCTATATAAATTACTTTTTAATCTGTTATAACTCTCTAAGGAGAACTAGCAGGTTGGGATGGCTATGAGGACTTGTCATCCATTATTGCTCATGAAGCATGTGAGATAAATGAAATACTTAAAATAGAACCAGCATGAATACCTAAATATGAGACAACTTGGCATCCCATTCAAAGTGAGATACATTCCAAGTGCAAATGCATATCTTTCAACACTAATAAGAAAATGCAGTTAATATAGTTTCATAATTGAGAAGTTTAGTGTAAAGGCATCAGGAAAAGGTCCTTGGGAATTCTAAGCCATGGAGCAGAGGAGGTGACTGTGTTGGTTCCAAGCAACTCCATGATGCTGGGATTTCAAAGTCCTCAGAAACTCATGGCCAGACCACTCTCATCACCTTGCCAGGACATTTTCAAAGACTGCTCTCCTAAAAGCCTGCCTACCAGCACACTCCAAGATGGCCAACTGTGGTCCGGCTGATTCCCAGAGCTCTGAGAAGAACCATGGCACTTGGGGAGGTTAGCTCTCCAAGATGCACTAGGCAGTGTACTCAGATGGTCTTCCTGAACTCTCTGGGAATGAATGCAAAGAATAGAGAGAGAAATGCAGAACTAGAAGCCATTTTGCCTTTTGGGGAGAAGTAATACTTTGGTAATGGGAATTAAAGTAAGATATGGTACCTGACTCTAAAGAAAAGTTAGTATTAAAGTCAGAATAAATTGTCTCATTTTTAATTCTTTCATTTTATCAAAAAAGCTGAGAGGCTGCATTTAACCTGGATCAAAGCCACAAAATATAGACAAGTCATTTCTTTAAGAAAATTTATTTGTACCGCTAGAGCAGAAACAGGGAAATGCTGTAAGTTTGTACAAACCATACTTTCATGAAACAGATCCTCATACCACATTCTAATGCAGACTTGTTGCTGTAACACTCTCCCTGGATTTTCAAAATCCAGCGAACATGGATACCTCAGCTACTCTGTTTTGGCCTTCATAGCTGCTTCCTCTCTCAGACGAGCTTTCTTTTCTAAGTTCAGGCTTGTTAAAGATTCATGTCTTTTGGCGGCCTAAAATGAAACAAATTTATACAAGTGAGTATGCTGGTTTGGGGAGGATATAATAACTTGGCACCGACATCAGCAGGTTAACTAGGGCACAAAACGGTTTGCTGTGTGCACACTGGACACGACAGTCCCCTCCATGTGACTTCTGTGTCCTCTAATGTTTCACAGTATAGCAGTCCGTCCAATTCAAACACAAGAGAGAAATCCTACACTCCCACCTTCTCTTCCTTTCTTGCCTCTTTCGTTAGATCTTCTAGCCCAGGGGGCAGCAAACTTTTGAGATGGAAGAGCCAATCCTGTCCCTCACAACAATTTAAAAATTATTTGAGAGCCATAAAACAAATGAAATCATCTTTATGTGAATAATATCCTTTAAACATTTTATAAATGAAACTATGATAGTTTTTTCATTTTCAATTTTACTTCAGAGCCACATGTACGTACCCAAAGAGCCGCATGTGGCTCGCGAGCCGCAGTTTGCTGACCCCGTTCTAGCCTGTCTTCTTCCTTTATAATAATATATTCCGTCTTTCCCTTTTTCTTCTCTTCATTATTAAATACTTTCTCATTTTCATTTCTATCCCTTTTTCTCCTGTCACTTTTCTTTGTTGCTACCGCTTCTCCACCTTATCTATGCTTTCACACCCTTCTAGCTCCTTACTCCTCTTTTACCAAAAACATTTTGCTCTGGGGGGTCCCAGACCTCAGCAAATACTGCCATCGCTGACTTCCAGCAGCATCTTCCCTACTACTCCGTCCTGTGAGAGCAAACAGCGCTGGGGGAGAGGCAACCGTCCTCTTCCCTTGCTTCCCTCCCTGTGTGTGACCCGTGAAGCTTTTATAAACAGACCAGGTACAAAATGTTTATATCAAATCAGTGAAACTAGCACCCTACCAGGTGGTGTTTTCCTATTTCTGTGCAATTTCACATGTAAAGAATTAGGTGTGGGAAGGGGAGGAGAATGATGATGATAAGTTGATGGTGGGAACAAGACATACAATGGCTAATTTCTCTCTTCTAAACCACATTAAGTTCAAAAGTTCTCCATTCCAGTAGCATTTACTAACTTTTTAGACTAATAATATAATTTCATGGTATAGAATGGAGAGGAACTCTCTAAAGTACAAAGCATATGTACCCTTGGATGAGGCTAGAGGAGATCCTAGGGAGTAATTTGTTTTGGAGTAAACTCAGTTAATAAAATCAAGTATATGAAAGCAGTGCAGATTTCTTAGAAGTCTGGAAATTCCTGTTTCCTGTCCACAGGCTTCTGCAGGTTTCAATCTGAGAACTGAGCGTGAGAGGTCAAAGTGGGAGACAGAAGAAAAATGGAAGTGGGGCAGGAACAGTTGTTCCCAGGTCTGCACACTGCCCTTTGTGCACCCATAAGGTCAGGTCAGCCTAAATGGTCGGTATTTTCCATTCCAAGACTCTACAGTGAGCCAGAAATTCATTTCCTCTTACTCTGGACTCCTTGGATAAGGAAGTCAGTTACCCCTGGGTGTATAAGAAACTTTTTAATATCTGATGATAGATACAACACATCTCTTTCCACATGGAGGCTGTGATACATAGAATTAGACGTGGTATTAAAAAAAGGGTTTAACCAGTGCTGCTACATAGAAAAGTTTAACTCTTTTAATCATAACGTGGTATAGTGTGAAGTTTGGTAACTTGCAAACTTGGCTCTAAATTTTAATCTTGCCACTTATTAGCTATGTGACTGGGGAAATTATTTAACATCTTTCAAGCTTCGGGTTCCTCTTTTATAAAACACAGATAATAAGATAACCTACCTCTTAGGTTCTTAGGATTATTGTGGTGATTAAATGAGTTTAACAGTACCTGCTATATAACAAACACTTAATAAGTGGGAGCAATTTTACTGTTACCTCAATTAGGTTGAGGTTCAAACTGGGGATCTGCCATTAGGGAGCTGTAGGACCTTGGGCAAGTTACTAAAGCTTTCCAAGTTAATGTTTCTTCATCTACAAATGAGTAAAGAACAGCGATAAGACTGCTCACCAGGATTATGGGAGTTAGAGAAAGGTCAAACTAGCCCATGTGTTGGGGCTTCATGGACATGCACCGGTTACCAGCAAATACACCAGGGTCCTATTTCTTGTTTCACGTTCTGCATGACATCTGTGATAACCAACACTGTTTTTTACTTTACATAAACCTAATTTAGTCTTTCCCCTTGCCAAAGTTAGAATTTGCTATTTATCTTCAGGCACGATATCCCATGTTTGTCCCTACTATGTCTTATTTTGTTTCTTATAATTTCCTGTGTAGAAAAGTAGCTACTTCTTTTCCTCAGAGAACAAATACGAGGGTTAACCTCTGATTTCCTCTAGGCCGTACGTGGAAAACAAACAGAGATAGGGAGGAAGCCCACTCTCACCTTCTTGCCCTCAATAACCATCAAGATGCACCCAGCCACTGTCAGGGCAATCATCACATAGCTGATCTTCACCCGCATCTTGTTCTTGGCAGCATCGAGCATCTCAAACCTAAAGGTACGATGAGATCATGAGAGAAAGTCAGCTTTCTCCTCCTGAAGTTGCCAGCAGGATCTAAAGCTCTGTGTACCACAGATTGGAAGTGGAGTGGTGCCTATAAATATAAAAAAGGAGGTGGGGCCTGGCGATCTTGTAGGGCTTTGGGGGAGGACAGGGCATTTTCACAAATCACTTTATGTGTAAAATACAATATGAGAGCACAAATTTGAAGTAGGAAACAAAAGAAGAAAGTGTGAAGACCAAACGTGAAGCCAGGAACAAAGCCACAAAAACAAGGCAAGGCATATTAATCTATACTTGCTATGGTGGGCCCAGATTTGGCTCTCAAGTTCCACATTAGCAGCCAATGCTAAAAGTGGGGTTCTTAAAAAGATATTATGTGATACAGTGATTATCTAAACAACACCCTGACAACAGATACTGCAACAAGCTTCGTAAGTTTCAACACAAAGCACAATTCAGAAGAAAAAACAAAACACAGGAGAGTTAAACAATGTGCTCTTTATACCCAGCTTTTTGCTTTCTGCCTTGAACCACTAGATTTGAGAATACATGGAACAGCAGAAAAGACCCTTTCAGCAATGCTTCCTTAATGTTTATCTTTTAACTGTTTTGCCAAAACTGAATGACTGTGAACTTGAGTTCTTTGGCAAGTGCCTCTTCTAATGTGCCCACTGAATAAAGGACACATGTGCCTTACGAGAAATTTGAGGATTGGATTATCATTCTTGTGTGAAAGCTGAGAGGCCAAACAAGAAAGAGTCTAAGGGGAAGACCCCTCCACCTTGGTGATTCTGCAGGTGGACAGTGGGTCGAAGTTCTATTACCTGAATGTCTGGTAGACACTCAGGGCATGTGGAGTCCTAATGGGCCCAGGATGGAGAACTGGTTTGCTGAGTGGGGTGTAAGTAGGAAGTGATTGTCTCTAGATGATGGGATTGGAGCGCTAATTTTCTTTGTTTTCCTCCAGGTTTTTAACACATACTACGCTTGACATTGCAGGGTGGGAGGGAATAATTTAAAAATGCTTGAAAGGAAGCACAGGATCCAGAAGGTTGCAGGTGGTAGGAGACGAACCCTGAAAGCATTTACACTGTGACGTAAGAGCTGGGACTCGGTGAGGCGGCAATGTGCACAGCGTGCTCCAGGCCCTGAGGATGGGCCTGCAGTGTGGGAGGAACCAGGAACAACGGCTAAGGACAGTGAATTGCTCTGTGAAGAGCATCTAAGATTCCACCAACCACAAACTACTCGTGTTGACAATATTTTATGTGAATTGGTATTTCCAACTGAAGTGCTGTGATCCTCATGGAAAGTGATATATTTTACATTTGAGGGAACATACGAAAAGTAAAGTGCATTTAAATAAGGTCATCATGTTGCCCTCCATTCTACAGAGAGCAATCAGAAAGGGCAAGTGAAGCAGTGCCCGTTCGGAACGACCAGCACAATGGTAAACGGCTCCCAGGCCCAGAGAAAGGCCTTCTAGGGTGACTCACTAGGTAGTACTTTGGGCTTCAGGGGATCTGGGAACCACCTACAAGGCTGCCTGAGGACGTTGTTCCATAGCAAAGTCTATATAGCACCTATTAGGGCCACGGGTATATACTGACTTGTTTTCTGCTGGGATTTTCAGGAAGAAATTAATTAGGACAGGGAAGAACTTGATGTCACTGACATTTCCAGCATGCTCTTATTTCCCAGGAGAGAATACTGTCACTTGAGCTAAGACAAACCAGGGCTTTCCTGCTGAAATAATTTTAGTGAAAATACTGTGCTGTTTAATTTGACTGGCAGAAACAGAAGGGCTGTTGTAGAGCTGTTGTAAACAGAAAGCAAATACTACTTATCTTCTTGGAAAAAGATACCTTGAATGAACCCAGGTCTTTTGCAATCATGACTTGAAATCAGAAGCCAGAAGGTGCAGGAATAGCTTTTTTGCTAGAAGGGCACGCCCAGGAGCTTCGTCCCAAGGCCCTGTCTCTGAAGAGGATGATGCCCCACAGGGGAGACGGCATCGCATCTATCTCTCAGAATCTCTCTTGGCCAAGATGCAATCCAATCAGCGGAGCAGTGGTTCTCAGTGGGGGTGATTTGGCCCCCCAGGGGACAGTTGGCAATGTCTGGAGACATTTCTGATTGCTATTACTGAGTGCTACTGGCATCTAGGGGGTGAAGAGGCCAGGGATGCTGCAGCTACACATCCTAAAATGCACAGGACAGCCTTCTGCAACAAACATTTTCTGGCCCAAATGTCAACAGTGCTGAGGTTGAGAAACCCCGGGTTACAGGAATCTGTCTTCATCATCTACAGACTCTAAAAAAGTCTCAAGATCCCAGCCAGGGCTGGGTTTAGGGAGGCACTCTTTCCTGGGTCCCAGAAAGAGAATATGTTGCTTTCAAATACTTTTATGCCTATGATTGAATACTGAAGTGGATTTTATAGGACATAGTTATTGTCACTGGTACCTAACTGATACACCCAGATTAAAACAAACGAAAAACAGTGAACATCACTGTTTTAGTCACATTTCTGTAGCTGGGATGGGAAATCATATCAGTTTACGCCTCAGTATCCGACAGCCCTTCACTAGACACTACATACCAATGATAGGACATAGATTTCCAGCACTGTTTCTATTCCAGGTACTTGCCAAAGAGGAAACATTTACAGAAGTGAAAGCTGTTTTAAAATTTGGTTGAAAGGTTTTAAATAGATTCAGAGGAACTGCTCTTCCTTTAAAACAGACCAGGCAGAAATAAAAGCTGCCTGCGGCCCTAAGTTCAGCACTCACGAGACAGTCTCTGGGATCTCATCTTCCTTTTTGAAGCGACCTGACCATATCAGGATCTTCTTCTCCCAATCCGTAGGTTTGTGTAATGGCACTCTGTGGCTGTAAGTCTCTATGAGAAAGACAAGAAATCTTACTTATGTGAGATTATGGCTCTCAGATTTAGCAAGAGAAAAATGCTGTTTGTGCCATTTTAGATCTATTGCATCTAAATGTATGCCACCTGAGTAGGTTCCATTAATAAGGTGGGAGTAGAGATAATGACTGGTGCAAACGGAGACCAGGGAGGGTGACAAAGAAGAGAAGGCGGCGGCCAGGGCTGAGTCGTGGGCCATGACCCAGAAAAGGCGACAGGAGAAGGAGGCAGCAGAGGAAAATGGAGTGGCCAAAGAGGCAGATGAACAAGAAAGGTACAGAACCACAGACTAAGAGAATGTCTTTCAAAGGAAGGGGAAGTCATGGAAGATAAAAGATAAGGAGCAGAAAAATGTAGGGAGTCACAGAATGTGAGGTTAGAAGGGACCTTGGAGATCACCTCATCCAACTTCCATGTACTGCCTACGTCTCTCTTGCAGGCAGACCCCTCTACCTACACGTCACACTCATCCCCACCTCCGTAGCTTTGCTTATGCTGTTCCTTTCACTTAATCAGACAGCAACAGCAAACAAACAGGAAAGTCAATAGGAAAAAAAATCCACCAAGGACCAAAGGTGAGAAAAGAGGTTTAGAAGTTTAGAAATAGTACTGCTGTAGTTTTATCTTTTACTACTTCCAGCATTTGGCACAACTCTCACTGTAGTTTTTTTTCCTTCTCATTTTAAGTACTATATACCCATTAAAGACAATTCAGACAATTTCCTAAGTCTTATCCCCATAAGTATGTATGTATAATTTATATCAGTATCATGCTTGTATATACACATAACATAAAATTTTGTTATTCTGCTTTGTTCATTAACATTATAACATTTTCCATGCTAGTACATGATATTTATAAACACCATTCCAACAGCTGCATAATCTCATCAGGTAGATCTGATGTACATAATTAATCATTCCCAGATTATTTGACATTTAGATTTTTAATTTTCCTATTATATATAAAAATGGGAATATCTTTACACTCAAAGTTTTTCCCACATATAGGGATTATTTATTCTTTAGGATAGATGCCCAGAAGTGAAATACCAGGTTGAAGGATATAAACCTTTTTAAAGCTCTTACTACGTATTCTTTGAGGCTAGTTCCTTTCCACTCACCAAGATCTGCCTGGCCCTAGTTACTGCCATGGCGAGTTAATAAGCAAATAGTTCTTAAGACCTGACAGTTTACAAATTATGTTCCCTTTTCCCACAGTGGTGACAGTGAGAAAGGTTTGAGTTAGGGAGAGGACTAAACATGGCTGAAGTTAATGCCCAGACCAGAACTTCGCTCTGTTTTTAGTTTACCCAAAATATCATTTCTTGGTTTGGTTCATCTTTGGAGTTTCTTAAAAGATAATTTGTAGGCCACTATTTACTTTGGTGCATCTGTTCTCCTACAAAAAGTTCCAGTCCAATCTTTGAGGCAAGAGATAAAAATGACAAATAAGGAAAATGAAGAAATCATCACTACACAGGAGCACAGCCAATGTCAGTACAATTTGGGAGGCCTGAACTGCATGATGGGGCAAGATGCAGGAGCCCCTGTGACTGCCTCTCTTTTAGGTTCTTTTGATTCCAAACTGTCCTACTCTTTGGGAGCCGCCTAGTCCATTACTGGAAAAGCTAACAAAAACTTACGGGATGGAGCTTTTGGACTTTCCTGTGGTTTGGTGCAAAATCCATTTATTCTCTTCAAATCAGAGTTTCTGGTAAGCCTTAGAGATGAGGAAGCATCTCTTTCACATAACCTAAACCAATTTCCTAGAAAAGAGAGAAAAACGTTTCAGAGAAAGAAAATCTGATGTTGTCTCAAAATGAGAAATGTCTGAAAGGTATAAATTTCATTTACAAAAATTAACTCATTTAAAAAATGAATATATTACTGTATACATATACTATATTTACAGTGCCATGCTTGGCGTTGTTTTAAAATATACATGTGTTGCTGATTAGGAAATTAGGTATTTACAACATAAACATTTTATTGGCTGTAAGTTTTATGAAAGTATCTCTCACATGTCTTATAACAATAATGGTTCTGGTGGAAATATTATGTATTATAGCACCCAGCTGTTTAGGTAAATAAAGATTAGCAACCTTCCAGAAGTGATAAACCAAGATGCCAAGTTGCCAATACTATTCTGGTAAACTCTGGGTAGGGAGCTTCAATGGCAAGGGGTTGTAGAAAGCCTTGTTCCTTCTAGAAATCAGCTGTGGATGGAGTCATGAATTATGTGTAATTTAAAAATTATACGTGTGTGTGTGTATATATATAAATGTACAAAACTATTATATGTAAGAATGTAGGTAGTTAATTTTAGAAATCTAACTTCTAAGCACCTATAGAGAGTAGTATTATAAATCTCCACGTATTCATCACCCAGTTTCAACAATTATCAATACATGGCTAATAAATATTGTTTCATCTGAACCCCACCCACTCCTTACCCCTTACTGGATTATTTTAAAGCAAATCCCAAATGTATTAGTTCATTCATAAATACTTCAGTATGCATCTCAAAACAATAACTTTTCAAAATCATTTCAAAATCATATCTAGAATGCTATTTGTAAAAAAATAATTCCTTTTATCAGCACATTATAACCAAATATTATGATTCAATTTCCTAATTGGGTTCATAACTTTTTTAGTTGGTTTATTCTAAATAGGTGCAAACATTGAATATGATTGATACTTCTTGTGTAGGTCTTCCTGCCTGCCTCCTTCCTTTTTTTCTTATAATTTATTAAAGAAACTAGGTCATCAGTTCTATAGAGTATCTCTCAGTTTAGATTTTGTTGATTGCATCTCCATAGTGTTAACATATTCCTCTAGCTCCCCTATTTCTTGTACATAGATTTTTGAGGTTTGATCATATTGAAATTAGAATTTTTAGCAATTTGTCATAGGTGGTATTGTGTACCTCCTAGTGCACACCCACCAGTTTTGATATTAAGATTGATCAGTAGATGATTTCGGTCTGACTCATCCCTTACAAAGCTTCCCATCCACCTTTCATCTAATGTTTTTAGCAGACATTGCTGATTGTTACCTGATCTAGTGTTTCAGTAGAGATTGCAAAATGGAAGTATTCTTTTTCACATTAACTATTTGGTTATCCTAAGGGAAAAGTTATGTAGAATAAATGTTTGATTCTTTCCCTTTATTTGCCAGTTTTCAAATTAATGAACTGATTTCCTAGCAACCTCCACAGATGACTTTTAGTTTAAGAGTATCATAAGGAATTCTTGTATTTTGACACATGATATGCTCCAGTCTATTTGCTATTTTTCTTTTTGATATTCAAATGTTCCCATCTTTAATCACTAGGAATTCTTTTAAGTTGGCTCATGAGTCCTTTCTGCATGTGCTCAGTAATCACTGAGAGCTCCCTTCCTGACAATATGTTCCAGACTCATTTTGAATGCTTCCTGGGCCCAATTTAGAATGAGACATTCCTTCTAGCTGCTCTGGTTCCTTTAAAGAGGAAATCTTTCAGAGATGCTTAGGGAGGGTGGCTCATTGTTACCTGGTTTGTAAAGTTTCCAAGCCTTTTCAGTAAACAAGCTAGTCAAGACATTCGTTCTTAAGAACTTAAGTTTCCATTAGCAATATTCACCTTCTGCCTCAGTAAATTTTAACCAGGCGATAATTAATCAGAATTCAAGCAGAGACCGTCAGAAATAGTTCTGATGAAGGTGGGGGGAAAAGGGGATACACAGTCTGAGTATGGGGCTCATATCAATCAGTTAAAACTCCACAAGGCTTGCTGTTCTTAGCATGATTAAGTCATTTTTCTTGCATAAATGCTACTTAGATCATCACAAACCTCTGGTTATTTTCTAGAATTCTGAAAAAGTTGATTTTAAGAATTTTTGGCAGTGTTTTCATTACTTTCACATAGGAGCGGATTTCCAGAGGTCCTTACTGGGACATACCGGAAGTTGGAAGCTCTATTTGTGTATAAAGATCTGTGGTTACCTACATAAGAGGTCTCACTTATTGCAGTGTTCTAGGTCTGTAATCCCAGCAAGCTTTGACTGGGAAAGGAGATAAATTATAATTGAGCTCAGCTTGTTTCCTCATTTTAAATGTGGATAATGTAGTATTTACTTCACCAGGGTCAATTTGAGGGTTAAATAGAAAAAACGAATATGAGAGCATTTGGCAAGATGCTTGACACACAGCAGGCACTTGAAATCTTAAGTTTGTTTTTTGAAACACTACTTAAAACATTAATCTTCAAAACATTTCCAGAGCAGTTTTCATTTTACCCCTAAAGTGGTCAGAATTTCTGACCACAGTAATTATGCAGTTACCAGGGCATGAGAAAATTCTATAAAACTCTTCAATAGGTTTTTGTTTGTTTGTTTTCACAGCTCTCAGAGTTAAAACAAAATTATTTAAGGCTGTGATTCTGAAACTTCAGTGTGCATCAGAACAACCTGAATGGCTTGTTAAAACAAAAATCACTTTTTTGGAATCAATAATTCTGGGGTGAAGGTTCGATTTGTACTTCTAACAAGTTCCTCAGTGAAGCTGCTACTTCTGGTTTGGAACTACACTTTGAGAACCAGTTTGTTTGTTTTTTTTAATTGTATTAAAATATACATAACACAAAATTTACCCATTTTAACCATTTTTCAGAATACAGTTCTGTGGCATTAAGTACATTCACATTGGTGTGCCACCATCACCACCATCACCACCATCCACCCAGGACTTCTTCATCTTCCCCAGAGAACCACCAGTTTAATGAGACCTACGAGGCCCCATCTCACATTAATTACCCTGTCCCATTCCCCTCTGGCACACACTGAGACAGAATGGAACAAGGGTAACTGGCAGTGAGCTGGATGGACTCCGCTCTCTAAACAGGAAACAGAAAAAGAATCAATAATTATTTCCTTACGTAGCTGTCCTTTCCCACCCTTCTTAATTAGAACAGAGGCAGTTTAGGAGAGTAGAACAGAACACAGACCGTTGAAAAGACCAGAAGTTGCTTCTCAGCTCAATGATAAAGCAAAAATGCTAACATGTACACCTACTTACTATCAGTCACATAAATGCATGTTGGGAGACCTTCATTCAACAAATAACTCAGTACCTACCATGTGTCAGGCATTGTTCTAGGCAATATACAAAAACAGATAAAAATCTATGCCAGCAGAACTTACATTCTACTGGAGAGAAAGTTTATGTATGTATGCATATATACATATGCATATATAGTTAGATAGAAAGTGCCAGACAGAAAACATTAACAATGGGGACTTGAAGTATTTGTATGCTTGTAATGGAGTGTGTGTGTGAAATTTCAGATAGGTAATCGGGGAAGTCCTGTTTGAGAATGCCACTTTTGAAGGAAGTGAGGGAGCTAACTTCACATATCTGTATGCAGATATCTGATGGAAGGCTATTCCAAACAGAAACAATGGTAAGTGCAAAAGCCCTAAAGTGGTTCTAGCTACCACAAAGAAGAGGCCAGAGTGGCTGGATTAGAGTGAATAATGGGAAGAGAGGTAGGATTTCAGGTCACAGAGGTACCTGAGGTGGAAGTGGGGGATAAGGACTTGAAGGCATGAGAGGTTTACCTAGATGAGAAAATACCTGCCAACCTTTTCTTACTGCAACTTCACCTGGATGCCAATCATTTTTACCTCCTTAAAGTATAAGTGCTGATTAAAACATACACAAATATAATCTTACACATAACAGAAATAATAGGCCAAGTTAAAAAATAATTTAAAAAAATTGACATCACTAAAAAAATGAAGTGTTTGATGTGATCTGTTTTTATTTTACGATTACAAAAAAATGAAAGCATAAAAGTTTTAGAGATAGTATATTTTGCCTTAGACATCCAAGCCAGAAATTTTCCATCTTCTGGTGGGTCACAATTAAAAACAAACATACAAACCAAAAGGAAAACAGCCCTTTAACCCTCTGACTGCACTTGTAGCCTGTCCCTGGCTGACAGTCCTGCATCCCCAGGGCCTTAGCAGGAAGTCAAGAAGAAGCCTCACAGCTGCCTCAAAGGTTCTGGTTAATCTTAAGAGTAGAGGCTCTCTAACTTCAGTGTGTATCAGAATCACCCAGAACCCTGGTAACACAGATTACTGGACCTCATTTCCAGAGTTTCTAATTCAGTAAGTATGAGAAGAACCTGAGACTTTGCATTGCTAACAATTTCCCAAGTGATGCAGATACTGTTGGTCTGGGGGCTTGCCATTTGACAACCAGTGCCTTAGAGGTATTGCTGCTAGCTGGTGGATGTAATGGGTCAGCTGGGATGAGGCTGGTTCAAGTACTGGCTTCTGTCCTGTTGTCCCCTCCTTTCCAACCTCATCATGATGGACAGTGCAGAAAGGTGGGGATGCCTTCTTTCCTCAGAATCTTGCAAGACCCTCCTGGAGATAACCATCAGTGATGTGACCTGGGACATGACCAATCTCTGGGAATTAGTGATGATAAATGAAGATTCAATGAATGCTGCAGAAGAGGCTTTTAGATTATCTAATGAGGGGTTTCTTAACCTGTGTCAAGATCAGTTGTCAGGTGTGTTGCAATTATGTTGCTAGCTATGAAGTTTGCCAATGATTTGCTTAAAAATAATATCATGGATTTGTTAAAACCCATAAAACTGTACATCACAGAGCTTTATTTAATATATGCAAATTTTAAAATATTACCCAGGATGGAAGGAGACTGTGACAAATGTATCTAAGTGTATTAGAAATATAGGACATAACCTAACCTC